CCTCAAATGCCTGCAATAGCTGGGGCCAGGAAATTAATCTGGATCTCCTACGTGGGTGGCAGGGATTCAACTACTTGATCCATCAATTACTTCCTTCCTGGGTCACAGTAGCTGGAAGCTGGCATTGGGAGGGGAGCCAGGACATCCCAAGCAGTGTCTTAACCAATGCACCAAACATCCACCACTGCTTTGCTTTTAAGAAATGGCCAACAAGGACTTTTGCCCTGACCAAGAATTCATATTCTTTCTGAAACACTGTGTTTGAAATGAAGTGGTTAAGTAGATTGGAATGAGTATCACTGAAGAACAGTAAAGACACCACAAGATTAAAATCAGGGAAGAATCAGAGAGTCCTACTTATTGTCTGGACAAGAGGAATAAATAAACTTTGAATAAAACATGTCAGTCAAATATATTTAGCAGCTAAAAGTCATAGCAGAAGAACTAACTGAGCAACAAAAATCAGCTCTAAAATAAAGCACAATGTATATGTTGGCATATGCAAGGGGTACTTGAGAAGAGTTCATGGAAATGGAATTAAAGATAAGTTAATTTTAGTATAAAAACATTTTGGAATCCATGCATAGTTTTCTCATAATATGCATTTTCACAAACATTTTGAAGAACTCCTCAAATGCACGGATTTCGAGTGTTTGCATCAAAAGAAAGTTATCTTACAATTCCATTTTTTTCCCATGTATAGTCTTAAGTTCTTTAGTACAATAGAGCAGAACCAAAGTTCCTTGGAAAATGCCATCGTGGTGTATTAGGATCAGATCCAAATTGCAGAAGTTAGACCTGGTTGGTGCTGAGTTGCTGCACATGCTGCCGCGGGTACATCCTGCACAAGACACATGCAAACCCGGGGAATCTCACCATCATGTGTTAGAGGAGGATTGGATGAGGGCAGAGTGAAGGAAGGAGAAAAACATATGTGTGTATTTGTGTGGCTTAACATTAGTAATCACCATGACTGCAAATAGAGACAGGAAGGCATTTAGTAATTCACCATAATTTGTGCAGAAGACTCAGAAAGAGACAAATAATAGAACGATTTTGAAGACGCAATGGTATAAGCCTACATCTGGGTGATTTGGAAAGCCATCCTACATAGTAACAATACAGAGGGGACACACCCAAGTAAGTCAGAAACTTTGAGGTGACAGAAAAATATGAGGCAAGGGAGATGATACACTAATATTTTTGAAGCAGTTTTACTCTGAAGAGATGCAAGAATTCTGGGGATGAGTCAGCCTGGACATAATGGCAAAAAGCGTCTATGAAGTTCATAGGAGCCAAGGCTTAATAATAACCCAGACGAAATTATCTAGCACAAAGCAAATGCCAGTGCATTTGTTTGATAACATCCATTAGAGAAAACCAGCAACAGGCATAAAAATGTCTTGGTTTTTAAAATCAGCATGGAAAAAAATGTTTGAGATATATAAGATCAAAGAGTAATTAACTGTACCCTGTGCTTGGTAATGCTGGATGTACTTTGTTATTTAAAGCAGAGATCACAGTGAGGAAATAAGAGTAGATGGACAGGAAAAAGAATCAAGGAATGAGCTGAGAACCAAATAATTACAAACCAAGGGAGGAACCTGAAACCATACTGAACTGGCCTAGGACAAGCGTGAATAAAATGGAAGTCCCTATAGTTTTATTTTTTGTAGTAAAAATTAAGTTGCTGTTTCCTCTTGTTATTATTTGAAAAAAAATATAAAAGGAGATCAGAGTAACATATCATAAAAATCTAAACACTGTTGAAACAAAGCAACTTGTCATAACTAAAAATTTAAATCAGTCAAATGTTCCAAAACAGGCCATGGTAAATTAAGTTGTGGCACATCTATGGTTTAGCTATTATACAGTCTCCAGCAATTATATGTAATGTAATGAAATATGTTCATGATAGGGCTTTATGTGAATAAATTATTTTAAGCTACGAATTGTAGTATTAAATGAATACCATATATAATTTTTAAAATGTGTTGTAATGCCATATGCAATTTTTAAACCCTTTGTAATGCTACATATATATGTGTGTGTACATATATATATATAAATTTTTAAAACACTTTGTTCATTACATTTGTAAAGTTCTTTAGATTTTTAGGAAAAATAGCCATTGAACTTTAATTTGCTTGGAATATGTTTTTATTAGTAGTACCCTCACAGGTGCACTAACCACCTACAAGTAGAAAAGGACAGGAAAGCCCTTCAGTGCTGGTAACTCTGAGGCTTTCACAAAACACTTTGCAGGAGGATAGAGGGATGAGTGGTGCTCCCCTGATGGGCTGTCCGCAGGTCACCTCCTGCCACTCTTGGCTCTGGTTCCTGGAGGTCATCAAGTAAACACCAAGTGTAACATCTCAAAAGAACGTGATGTATTATCCTCACAGAGGGGAAACAGCCAAGTCTTCACATGCACTGATGGGTGATTTTGTCTTCATTAGGCATCTATCAACTAAGGGAAAGTGAGTCATGACTGAGACCATCAGGCTGCACTTTCCTAATGCCTGTTTTCCTAATGATCAATCGGCCTGAGAGCATTTCCATCAAGTTCCATCCCCTTGGGAGTCTCTGAATCTGGATAATCTGTCTCTTTTTGGTCAACTCTTTGTCATTTTGGTATTATTAGACCTCTCCAAAGTCGTATTTTGTTCCTTTTATAAGTTTAATTAATAGCTCTTAAATGTGCATTGTTTTATGAACAAATAGACTATTCCATATCTTTGGGGTGTATTTGTTCCACTTTACTTACTTTTAAGCTCTCTAATAATGTTAAAAGCCAGTCTTTCCACATGAGAAGCCATTCTTCAAGGCATAATTTCATTGTTATTTTTAGGACACTTGAACAGATGCAAAACACTAAAAAGGGTTTTCATTAAGGACAGTTTTTATGCAATGTTATAATATTGATTTTATTAAGGTATTTTAAATTTATTGAATTCTAACAACTTGTAATTAAGACACCTCAACAGTGGTTTTCTATCTGGGAGAGAGGTGTGGGTTTCATGAGAATCACCTGGGGAGTTTTTCCAACTCTACATGCTGGCACCCTCTGCTGGATTTCAGAATTTTGGAGGAATGTGTCATACTCTTTTTCTGTTAGCAAAAAGTGGAAATGGAATCCACCTTTGATTTCCTACTAAATCCTGACCAGCTGAGCCCTTTTTGATCATTCACAAAATATTTTTTAGGAGTTACTATTTTAATTAAGTAATTCTAATTGGTTCTTGAAAACTCAATCTTGGAGCCACATCATCAAGTTCTGTATCATGTAGTTCTAGTTTAGAGCACTGCACGTTCTGCACATTATAAAGGGGATCAGAACCATATTTCTCATTTCATGAGCAATGCATCTTTGATGACCAAGTATACATTGTTGGCAATGGAAACACAGAAGCCTGGGAGCAGACTGACCTTGCAGGGCTAGGCTAAGGAGGTGTGAGCCATGGAGGCCAAGCTGGCTCTGTACACAGGCCCCAGAGGCAGGCAGCCTAGCAACTCACCGGCAGGGCAGGATCCTGACCACGTCATTGGGCTTATAGCCTTCAATACAAACTGCACAGTTGTCAAAATCAGGCTCTGTTTCCTGCAACAGAGGAAGCACAGATGAGCTTCAGCTCTTGTGCAAACACCCGAACAGCCAACCAAGGGAGAGTCTGCCTCGGGAGCAAGGCTTTCAACAGACCCCGGGCCAGTTTTCTCAGTCAACAATTTAGTGACTGTTGGCATAGTTTCCACTTTTTCCAACCTTCATTTCTGTTTCCAGGTTCCCTGCAACCATTTTCTAATGTACCATTAACAATAATGCTACCACTGATAATTAGAGGCCACATATAAACTTCTCAAGGATAAAAAAAATATATCCAAGTGATATTTAATCAATCCATTCCTCTGGAATTGAGTGTGCACAATAAATACACCATATAAACATCAAATAGTGGCTCCACTTTTCTCAAGCATATAAATCTCTTTTAATATCATACACTCTATACACTTAGATATCTAAGTCTTTGTATTTTCACTATTATTTTTTGACCAAGGGGGGAAGTGGTAATGACCAAAATGAACTTTAAATTTAGTAAATCCTTTTAATGAATTTATCTTATTAAGCACCACAGCATTTTTCTATGGTTAAAAGACAATAGCATATAGTTTTTGAAACAAATTGATTCTTCAGGCCAGAGATGACAACTGGTGTACACTGAGGAGCTGGGAATCCCTTACCATGCCCCAAGGATCCCTGGCCCATGTGTTGTGATCCCTTGCTCTAAAACTCCTCTTGGCGAATAAAGACCTTTGCAGACCTGCAGGCCTGGACTGTGCTTTGTTGTCCCTTCTCAAAATCTACGACTGCTTTTGGCTTTATGCCATCACTCTACAGTGAAGGGGGCTGTTGCAAAGATGCTGGGGTTGTGAATAGCAGGTTTTAGGGAGACTGACCATACTTCCTGCATTTATGCTGCAGAACTAAAGTAAAGAAAATAGCACATAATGCTGTCTTCTTTGCAAGGATTCATGGAAAACCACTCTCAGATTGTAGTGTGAGATTAAACCATTTTGTTTTTTATCACGTGGGACACTGGAATAAGGCAATTAAGTATTGTTTGAATAACCTAAATTTGGGAACCATTTCTATTACATTTCAAGCAATGCATTTGTGTACTAATTTCACCCTGGATTCATAGATTTGTTTTCACATATTTCTCATATTTTCTTTCCAACTATGGTATGCATTTTGCAAACTGCCTTAAATTATACTTAATAAAGAAAAGTATGAGTAATAGATTCTGGTAGTACAACTGTTAGCATGCACTTATTTCCTTTTCTATCCTTCCTTCTCTTCTACCTTGGCTGTCAGAAAATTGAGGAGCTCCTGTGAATAATTCCTCACCAAAAAGAGAAGAGACTGTTACCTTGTCACCCTTCTTGATGGTCCTGATCTGGAGCTTACTGATGGCTTTCTTTGCTGCATCTCCCAGTCGACGCTGAAAAACCAAAAGTGGCGTGTTAGTAACAAAGATGTGTAATTCTTGACTTCACTTCTGATGGCATTTAATAAACCAGAACAGCTATCTCTGAAATCATGCACATGTGGCATGTATGTTCACGACGATGACTGGGAGAGATGGGGAAGTGGTGTTTGCTTGGTTAAGGAGCTCTACTAATTGAGTCTAGCAGAGTTTGGTCATAGAGAGTTTTGCAATGCACAGTGTTAGGCATTCTGCTATACAGTGACTCTAGTGTGGGTTAAATCAGCACAGATGAGTGCAAACATGGGGGAAAGAATTTAATAATTTTCTACTTGGCACTCATGGAGATAGCCAAGCCAGAGTAGTTGTCATAAACTTCATCTCTTCTTCTTCTTCTTCTTCTTTTTTTTTTTTTTACAGGTTTTACAGGTTGTATATTTCTTTTAATTGCTCATATAGACCTAACCTGGGTTTAAATTTGGTTTGTTCTATTCTATTCCATCACATACTCACTTGCTAGTTTTATTTTCTTTGTCTATGTGTGAGCATGAGTGTGCATATAGACAAATACATAAAATATAATGTTCAGTTTAGCAAGTAATTATAAAGCAAAGACCTATGCTCGTATCAAGAAATAATATAATATAATATAATATAATATAATATAATATAATATAATATTTCATGTTCCCCTCACCTTTTTTGATAATGAAGATTACTACCCTAATGAGCCTTGTAGTAATTCAATGACAGGACAATGAGTAAGAATGGGAGAAGGGGAGGGTGTAGAGATAACTGCATTTTAATGTCAAGTACACATATGATATGTGTGCTTGTTTTTCTACACGTTTTATCTCCTTCTTAAGGTAGTGTTAGTTTGGTCTTTAATAGATGGGTATTTGTAGCGGTGAATTATATTTAAAGGACCAAGATGAACAAGGCCAGCATTTAAACACATAAAAATCGTATGTTTGCACTAATTTTGTCTCTGTTGGGAAAAAACCCCACTCAATCTTATTTCTTTTCTTTAAAATAGTTAATATATACCAGTGAACAGTTAATATATCTTAGGTTACATACAATGTCTCTTTTACCATTATAATAACCCTATGAGAATAATACTATTTTATAGAATGAATTGAGATTTGCAAAGTTTATATAAATATATTGTTCAATGTCACATAGTGAAAGGTCAACTAGAATCTGAATAAAAGTAAGTCTTTTGATTTTACAGACAAAGCTATTCTGTTATCCTCATCTTTAGTCATCAAACCAGCCAGCAAACCAGCCAACAATTGGCCAACCAGCTAACTAGTTAATCTGAGATTGAATCAAACTAACCAAGAAACCCACTGGCCAACCAATCAAAATGCATCAAATATATATCATGTTATATTCCATGCACACAGCAGTTAAGGTAAATAAGGAGAAAAAGAAATCTTCTCATTGTTAGTTAATTTTTCTCTTCCATATTTCATCATCTGCTTTTAAAATAATAGTGGTATTTTTAGCAGAAGGGTAAGTTTTGGGTGTTTCCTAAAAGGAGTTCTATAAACATCTAAAATTTATGCACAGGTCTGTGAGTAGTTAGCAAACTCCAATAGCAGGAAATAATAGGAAGAATGTGTAACAATAGGTATAAAGGGAAAACATGAGAGTGATCAGGAAAGAAAAGAACTGGGTTCAACTAAACATGTTGGATATTTTATCTCCTCTCCTTCTGGTTAATACCTAGTCATCCTTTGGTCTCAATTCAAGCACTTCTTCAGGGAGCCCTTCTACTTATCTCCCTGCCAGATCCCTCTGTCTGGATTCTCTCAGCACTTTCTACCTCTGGTTTATAGCACTGTGACACTGGCAATTTGGTATTTGTTTTTATGATCAACCCCTATTATACTTTCCTCATGTAGGCTCCCTGAGGGCAGGCCTGTTCTTATTTTTGCCTCGCATTATGTCGGCAGCATGTAGAATGAAGCTCATTCAGTAACTGGCACTCCAAACTCTAACACATATTTCTGATCACTTACTCTGTGCCAAGCACAGCTCTGGGTTTCAGAAAATGGTAGTGAAAAAAATACACAAAAAGGCTTGTGCTTTGTTGTTTATAACCTACTGGAAATTCCATAATGGATGAGTGAATAAAATCTGAAGTCAATGTTAGTGAAACCAGCACTGTTTTATCTGAGATACCATCTGAAGTCTTGGGTGCCATTTTAGGCTCTAGCTTTATACAATAAGTTTTGGTTTCTCTGAGATAAGTTTAAGTTTCCTAAGTACAGCCTGGTTTCCCAGAAGTCAGGTGACCAAACGGCCCAACTATACACATTGCTTTTTCCACACCCAGTGGAATTTGCTGTTCTTACTTCCTCATCTCTGCTAAGCTACATAAGACCTGTTCCAGTGCAGGCTTCTGTTTCTCTTGTGCACGGACACCCAGCCTTGTTGGCCAACAATAAACTTCTCCCTTACTCTGGTAGTTGGTGTGTTTTGTGGTGGCCATTCATTGGTGCCATGACTCGGATCCAGGCTCTCCCATTGACCCACTTTCCTTTCAGGGATGCAAGCTGCTTTGGGATCCTAGATTTCTGCCAACCACAAAACCACCCTCGGATCTCTGTCTCTGCTACTAAACACTCTGTGATTTCCACCCACACACCAGTCCTCCAAAACCCCGAGGTAAGATGGGGAACAGGGAATTCTCCCACTGTGACCTCTACCTCGGGTTGCAGTTCCTCTCTGTTTCATCTTGAAGTCTGGTATCAGGCACCACAACTCCCATGGGCTTTATGGCGCAGGCCATAGTGGGTGTGGGTGACAACTCAATCCTCTGCTTCCCTTCTACAGGCTTTATACCCTGGGTGACAACCCCCAACCTCTGCACCCTTACTCTCCTCGTCAGACTGCTGTGATCTCGGGGACACCTGCTATCTGCTAGTTCGACTTCTATAGGTCACCATGGGAGCTTCCTTGTCCCACATTCCACTTGACTCTCCCCTTGGTTGTCTCCTAAATAATTGGCCCCATATCTCAAACGCCATCATGTCATCTTTCTTTGTAATCAGTCATGGCCCATGTATGACCTGAACAACCAGTCCAAATGGCTGCTTAATGGAATGTCTGACCCCAACATTATTGGGGATCTCTACCACTTCTGTGAGCATTTGGGAAGGTGGAAGGAGATTCCCTATGTTTAAGCTTTCTATATCTCTGGTCTAAAACTTCTCTCTACACCTCGTGTTCCTTAGCTTAGGTTCTCTTGGCCACTAAGGCTCTCACTAAAGACCCAGAGCCAGAGCCAAAACTGCTTTGTTCTATGTTCGATCCTGCAGATGAGCCCCACCTTACCCCCATGGGCACTGGCTCAGCCCCTTTCTGCTTGGGCTCTGACACAGTCACCTCTCACTCAACAACCTCAAAGCCCACTATCCAATCTGGCTTTGTGTTGTTGGCACCTCCCTCTTCTGCATAGGAATTCCAGGAGGTGGCATCTATTTCTACACCCATGTCTCCTGCTTGCCCTTATCTCAAAACCAGCCAGCCCTTGTTCAGTTCTACTCCTCCTGTTCTCCCTGCCTTATCTCAAACCCAGTCCTTGCTCCAACTTTCATCCTCCCACATTCCTCTGAGCCGGCATACTGTTCCTACCCTGCAACCACCACTTTAAGGCCTTGACCCCACCTCTCCTGTGCCCAGTCCCCAAGTCACTCACTCATGTGGCAGCTAGGGAGCCTGCCTCCATGCTACCCCTTCGAGAGGTGGCAGGGCCGAAGGGCATAGTCAGGGTTTATGTTCCCTTCTCTCGCTGATCTCTCACAAATCTAACAAAAATGGATTTCATCACCTTTAACCCAGAGACATCCGTTATAGAGATTCAATATCTAACCCAGACCAACGATCTAACTTTTCATGATGTCTTTTTTTTTGTTGTTGTTGTTTTTTAAACTTTTATTTAATGAATATAAATTTCCAAAGTACGACTTATGGATTACAATGGCTTCCCCCCCATAACGTCCCTCCCACCCGCAACCCTCCCCTTTCCCATTCCCTCTCCCCTTCCATTCACATGAGGATTCATTTTCAATTCTCTTTATATACAGAAGATCAGTTTAGCATATATTAAGTAAAGATTTCAACAGTTTGCTCCCACACAGAAACATAAAGTGAAAAATAATAGATGATTTTTTAAATGATGATGAAATCAGATCAGACCTATTGTCATGTTTAATCCCAGCGAGAGTCAAGTTGGGAATTGATAATTTCTTCTTCTTTTTTTTTTAACAGAAGATCAGTTTAGTATACATTAAGTAAAGATTTCAACAGTTTGCACCTCCATAGAAACACAAAGTGAAATATACTGTTTGAGTACTCGTTATAGCATTAAGCCTCAATGTACAGCACATTAAGGACAGAGATCCTACATGAGGAGTAAGTGCACAGTGACTCCTGTTGTTGACTTTACAAATTGACACTCCTGTTTATGGCATCAGTAATCTCCCTATGCACCAGTCATGAGTTTCCAAGGCTATGGAAGCCCCTTGAGTTCTCTGACTCTTATCTTGTTTAGACAAGGTCATAGTCAAGGTGGAAGTTCTCTCCTCCCTTCAGAGAAAGGTACCTCCTTCTTTGAAGATCTGTTCTTTCCACTGGGATCTCACTCACAGAGATCTTTCATTTAGGTTTTTTTTTTTTTTTGCCAGAGTGTCTTGGCTTTCCATGCCTGAAATACTCTCATGGGCTTTTCAGCTGTTTCCGCATGCCTTTAGGGCTGATTCTGAGGCCTGAGTGCTGTTTAGGACATCCGCCATTCTATGAGTCTGCTGAGTATCTCGCTTCGATTGAAAGTCAGCCGGGAGGAGGCAAGATGGCGGAATAGGAAGGAAGCACACTGATAGTCTGGGGAGAGACAGTTTAATAAAAGTGGAGATACTGCAGGTTCAAGGAAGAGTAGGGGAGGAAACAGCAGAAGAAACTCTTCCAGAACGCGTGATTCACAGTGGACCTGCGTGGAGAGCATG